GGCGCACACACGCACACACACATATATATATATATATATATATACACACACACGCCGATATAACTGTGTATGTATGTACGCAGGTGTATATATGTATTTATATATATACACACACACCTCACGCATTTCGTGAATGTCGGGCGCTCAGGTGGCCCCCGAAACGGCCCCTTGGAATCTCAATTCGTCGCGCCCCTCACGCGCGTCGCGCCACATAAACCGAGAAACGCCCTCGGCTGGCATCCAAGACCACCTCATCCCCCACAAGGCGCAAATACGCCCAGAGCATTGCAACGATTTGTACCGAACCTCGTCCAGTCAATATCCCTAACACCCCGCGATTGCAAACTCCGCGTGCAAGCTTGCCCCCCGGGGCCCGCCTCGACCCCCGCGCCCCGCGCGGCGGGCCCGATATAAATTTTAAATGTCAAGGGTGGCCCGGGACACGCGCGAACGTAAGAGTGGAGCGGGAAAGACGACGGACGCAACGCACTGCGCGCCCCCACTGGCCAAACATGCTCTCATTTCGCGACGCAACGTATGTGTTCGAGAAATCTAATCAATCCTGCCGCGTTCTGGAGCTATCTCGGCAACTGCGCCTGCTGCTTGGCTGCCAAGCATAAGCCGCTCCGGGAATAGCCCGTCGAACACTGCCGCTCCATCGAAAAGACAGACAATTCAGGAAGAGGGCGAGAATCATAGGTGCCCCGGAAGTCGACCTGCCCCCCGATCTTGGCCCAGAGATCTGAGCCCGGTCCAATTGGGCCCCGAATCTCACCCAGACGCCAACCGCCCGCCGGGCGCGACGGGCCCGGAACGGACCTGACAGAGGTGGGGGCGACGGGCCCGGAGAGGACCTGAATCGCAATCCACGGCGCGGCGAGTTCGGCCCCCTAGCCACTCGGCGGCGCCGTGGAAATGCCCCTTCGACCGTTGCTCTCGCGACGAACTCTGATGGGTCATTCGCGGGGCTCTCCGCGCGGACAAGGCCCGCCCCGACTCGTCGCCGTCGAGGGCTCGCCGATCTCGTCGCCCTCTCATGGGCCCAGGAAGAAACGAGAGGGCCGCGGCGAATCCCTTCTCCTGCGAAGATTTGCGAAAAGCTGGCTGGGGCGCTGTCGGCCTTCCTCAAAGAGAAGCAACCCTCTCGGCCGCGCGCTCGGCGGCTTTCCATTGCGCGCGCGCCTCCGGGGCTGGCTCGTCAGAGTGGCCTTTGATTGGCGAGGCGCTGCCGGGCCCCGCGGCGCGGGGGGCTCTGGCCCGCCCCCGCATCTGGGGCAAAGCATATGAGTGGCGACCTGGACGTCGGTCGCTGCGCCGCGAGCGAGGCCGCGCTGCCCGCGTCGCCGCCGCCGCCGCCAGTTCTGTCAAACGACGCGAGCCCCGAACATGCAAGATGGCCCGGGCGCAAGATGCCGCGTCAACCCCACTCCCCGCGCAACCCGCCCAACGACGACGGCCAGAGGCGGCCCGCGTCACGCGGGCCCCATCCTCTTCAAACTCTTGAACCAACGCCGCGGGGCATCTCAACTCCTCCGTGACCCATGGAACTCTCTGGCGGGGATTTCACTCCATTCTAATGCCATGCGACGCAGGCGGCCTATCCCATGACGCCGCCGAGAAGGTCTTCCGATCCGTTTCGAGCAAATGGCAATTCACTGCCCCCGTTGGGCCGCGAACGCGGCGAAGTCGACGTTGTGATTCAGCCGAGAAGCTGCCCCCATGCCCTTGGCCGCGCGCGTCTGAGGGCGGGTCTCTAGCCGGCCCTTTCGCGAGCCCGCGCCCTGAACCGCGACCTCAATAATCTGGCGCCGTCTGTATTCCTGGATTTGCCTTCGGGCCCGGCAAAGCGCGCGGCGCGGCCGGGCATCTGCCCGACCATCGCGCCTCGCCGGTCTGTCCAGGGCCGCGGCGATAAATGCCCGAATCGCCGGGCATCGACGCGCGTGCGATCCAACAGCAAACGACCCCTGGAGCTCTATATGAGATGAGATCTTGCACCGCGTCCGCGCTACTGCATGCTCGGCGAAACAGGCGCCCATGGCCGCCGTCGCGCCCGCCCCTGTTCTCCTGGTCGATCGAGCAAGTCGTTTGCTTCCGCCAAAGGCTGGCCCCAGATAAGCCGCCTGGGCCTGGGGCTCGACGGCGGGGCCTGCTCGCTTAACAAATTTGGCCGCGCGTCTGGCATCCGACGCGCTCGCGTAGCGCTGCCGGCTCGACGGCAGTCTGCAACTTCTGCTCTCGTGCAACCACGGCGCATGCCAATGATTACGTCTGACAACCCTCTTCTCACTCTCTGCCTCGAACAATTGACAACCTGAATCAGACCGCCCGCCCAGGCGCGGCGGGCAACGGGCGGGCGCGCGGCGGCATGGCGCTGCGAACCGAATGCGCCATCGCCCTGGCGACGCGCGAACTTGATCTGAGGCGCGGGGCTGTGATTCGCGCGGGGGGCAATGGCTCGGGAGACGCGCGCCGCTGCCTCGAAGTGCGCGGCGCGGCGCGCGGAGGCGACCCTGAGCACGCAACTGTAGGAGAGAAGCCCACCTCGAGGGTTTCAGCAATCCACGCACCCCTGACACTGCGCCATGAGAACGACTGAAGTATACGAGGCCCTGCAAAGAAAGAAACCGAGCGCCGGCAAACTCCGTATCTGGGGCCCGCAGGAACGCCTCGCGGAAAGCGGCTTCCCCGCGATGGCTGCGTCCCACGCTGGATTGATCCGCCCCGTCCATGCTGCTGCCTTTGGCTCACGGCGCACTGGTGACGCTTGGGCGAACATGGCGAGGACGCCGGTAACTCTGTCACCTGCTCCTTTGAGCTTTGATATCGTGTGACCAATAACAAAGACGGAGCGTGCTTTGGCCAATATAGCGTGCACTCCATCGCCCCGTAGATGGAGATGAGTTCTTGGGTGCCTGAATCTGGGAAACACTCGATGCCCGAAGGAGATAGACGATCCACTCCTTGTTCAAAAGGCTGGCCGCAACTTAGTTGTCGATGAGCGCACATTCTGAGGCTCAAGATCGGCTAGCGGCTCATCCTGCGTTGCAGACCGAACTAAGCTGAAAACGCGGTCGAATTCCGAGAATACCTTCGTCTCAGGCGCCCAAACCGAATGCCAAGACTCTCGTTTGATATCCTTTCCTTATACATTCGGATGGCAAAAAGCTGCGCCTGACGATATCACTTCCTGACTAGCCAAAGGTTCGTTACGAACACTTTCGTGAAACACGCAAATTGCTCCAAGACTTTCGGCTCACTCTATGAAGCAATTGAAAGATATGTGCGCGATTCGATATTGGGTTCGCCTGCCGGCTTTGCGTACCAACAACCCGATTTTGCATATCCGCTTACCCAACAAGTCGCCCAACAGACGTAGTGGACGAAACAACAAAACGCACGATTGCTCATTCGGCATCAAAAAGGTGCCCGCGTTAACGGCTACAACATTTTGCAACACAACCTTGCCTCCCTGAGGTTCTTGATCTGCTTCGTGCCATTCGTGCGAGACCTGTAGCGCGATATGACAACAATGACTGCGTCCAAGCGAATCCACACATTGGCCGTCGCATCCTGGCTGCAGGCGGTTGTGCTCATTATGGTACAGTTCACCCACACGAACACTGCGACCCATTGCTCGAGTGGGCCCAACAGTAATCCAACATGAGCGGTGTGCAAATGTCTGCTTCGACTGAGATTAACCAAGAAACGCGCATGTCCGTGAAAGCTTGCACCTGCTGGGAGCCAAAACGATTACATAATGACGACATGTAAATGCTCTGCTGTTTTGCAAGCCGATGCGGGCACGAAACCAAACTGGGCTCTGACGCTATCCCACAAATCTTCCAGGATACGCAAGGCACATTTGGGGTTTCTTCCTGAAGCTCGTCTTATGGGCCGGGCGGTATTGGGATCGGAGCGGCGCTGTGCTAAGTTTGGGAAGCCATCGAGAGACCAAGTCTTCCTCTGGCCAAGCTTCAAGGTCCTCCTCTAATTCGAAATCGCGACCGCTCAGAAAATCCCAGATCCGACCAAAAGAACTCCCGGGAGGAGCAATTGATGGAGCACGGCCAAAGCGGTCCCCAAACATAGAGTCATCTAAATCAGCCCTGCGCTGCCTAGGTAACTGCTAGCTGCTTCTGGCTACAGCCTTCGCCTGGGATGATTTGGATATGGGGGTGGACTTCTTCAAGGTCTGGATACTTGTGGCAACTTACCTGGCAGCGACAACATTCTGGCTACCAATTGCGAACCAGGCCAATGAAACTACACACCTAGCCCTATGTGAGGCTTCCAAGGCACATCTTGGAAGGGTAGAACACTGCATGCCTGCTCTAGCGGACTTGTTACACATTACAGATACAGTCATCCAACAGAGACATTGTGCCTGACGGGCAAGTGGCTTCAATGGAGGCTTGGACAAAGTGCCCTCCAACCTGAGACAGGAACCTGGAGAGCCGTAGGGTCGGAGGTGGCATTTTCAAATCTATTGCTACAAGCCACTGCAGTTGCAGAGATGCGAAGAGGGATCCCAAGATAATGGAATCGAACAATGTTTGCACATGACATGGGTACATACGGGCGCGCATAGAAACAACATACCGCAACTTAATCTCTTTTGAAATATTGGAGCGCTGGGACAAGCCCGTCCCAGCAAACGTGCTCTGGTGCGGGAATGATCGCCCGCTTTCAGTGGGTGGACCAACAACAACCTGATGTACTTGAAAGTGTCCTCTCGCCAACAGCCGTTCATCTCCTTCGTCAGACCGCTCTTTTCAAGGACTACCTACTTGCCGATCGTGCGGCCACGCACGGTTGCTGATGAGACGCGAATGATTGAGACGCGCTTTCTTGCCCCACCTCTGAACCCCAACGGCAGAAACGCGCGTCGAGGCCAGGCCGAACAAAATCATACGATGCGTTCGATTCGGATTGGGGAGCGGGATCGAAGGAGGGGGGCGGCCAGCATCCGTGCATCCGCAGCGCAGTCCCCGCCCCTCCAAAGACAACGACGAGAACGGCCAGGACGAAGCCCATGCCCCACAGGCGCTCCTTGGTGAGCGGCCGCTGCCGGTTCATGGCCAGGGCTCTTGGGGGCCTCGCGGCACTTGGCCGTCGTAGTCATCGCTGTCGTCGTTGCCATCGCTGCTGTTGCCGTCGCCGTAGCGTAGTCACAACGCTGTCATCCTCTTCCCCCCGCCCCTTCCCCTCCGTCAGCCCTTCTATCCCCGTCCCCCTCTCCTCATGCTGATCCTCGTCCTCCTCCTCCTTCTCATCCTCCTCCCCGTCATCCTCCTCGTCCTCCTCCTTCTTTTCCTCTTCCCTCCCCTCCCCCATCCCCCTCCCCGACCCCGCCCCCACAGCCAGCGCATGTCCCCATAAGCATACTTCAAATGTGCCACTAGACGGCCCCAAGATGGCTCCAAGAGTACCCCCAGAGACCCCCGAGGAACCCACAATCGTCTCAACCAAAGCAGTGTTTCAATGATCTGTGCCTGATCGCTCTTCGCCTCTGGTGGTCCTCTGAGGTCTCAAAATGGCCCAGAGATGACAAACAAGAGTTCCAAGAGGGGCCCGGGCGGGCCCCAAGACGGCCCACGAGACTCTCAAGTGCGCCCCAAGAGGGCCGCAAGAAGCAATCTGTCGACCTACGAGGGGGGAGGACCCGTATTCCTCCCTTTCTGATTCACTCTTGGGACCCAAGATCGCCTCAGGAGGGCCGCAAGATCCTCCAAATAGTCCCAAGAGGGCCCCCCATACCCCCACAAGAGGGCCCGAAGAGGGCCCCCAGTAGAGCCCCGAGAGAGCCTCAAGAGCACAGCAAGATGATCCCAACGGTCCTCCAAACAACACTCAGAAGGACAGATCTGCGAAAGCCTCGTCCTCCTTCTCCCCCCTCCTTGTCATTGTCCTCCTCCTCTTCCTCCTTGTCTTTCTCCTTGTCCTCCTCCTCCTCCTCCTTGTCCTCCTCCTCCTCCCGTAATTATCCATGTCCTCCTCCTCCTCCTCCTCCTCCTCCTCCTCCTCCTCCTCCTCCTCCTCCACCTCCCAAGATTGCCACGAGAGGCTCACGCGAGCTTTCAACGACAGCGCGCCTGAGCAGCGGCCTTGTATGGGCTGGTAGAGCTATGTACGCGAGGCGCCAATCCTTTTCCACAGGGGCAAGGATGGAGGGACGTCTTCGCGGTCGCTCTCCGCCACCGTTCTCTCAAGGCGAAGGCGTTCCCGCTCTCGACACCACCTCTCGAGGATGGAGGGCGAAGGCGTCCCCTTTCTCAAAATGTGGCTCTCGTTTTCGCGGCGTGCACCTGATTTGTTTTGCAACGCTTCCACCAGCTACAAGGTTCCAGAGTGCCCCGTTTCGAAGTGCGGTTGTCGCTGGGGGTGTGGACACCCCCCCATTTCGAACCCCCACACCCGTGCAACTCAGGGGGGCCCCCTTGTGCGCGTCGTCGTCGCCGTCGCCGTCGCCGTCGCCGTCGCCGTCGCCGTCGCCGTCGCAGTCGCCGTCACCGTCGCCGTTGCCGTCGTCGTCGCCGTCGTCGTCTTCGTTGTCGTTGTCGTCGTCGTCGTCTTCGTCGTCGTCGTCCGTCGTCGACGTCGACGTCGCCTTCGTTTTCTTCGTCGTCGTCGACGTCGCTGCCCGACGGCGACGGCGCCGTCACCGTCGCCGTCGCCGTCGCTGGCGCCGCCGTCGTCGTCGTCGTCGTCGTCGTCGCCGCCGTCGTCGTCGTCGTCGTCATCGTCGTCATCGTCGTCGTCGTCGTCGCCGTCGTCGTCTTCGTCGTCGCTGCCCGACGGCGCCGGCGCTGGCGTCGGCGCTCACCGTCGTCGGTTGCGTGGGGTGGCCCCCTCGTCGTCGTTGCCCAATGGTGCCGGCGCTAGCCCTCGCCGTCATCGGTTGGAAGGGGGGCGCCCCCTGCGGTTCGACCCCCTCCCTTGCAATTCAGGGAGGGGGCCCCCCACAGGGGTTCACCCACCCCCCCTCTTGGGACAGAGGAGGGGGGCCACCTCCCGGTTCGAACCGCCCCTTTTGCAACTCAGGGAGGGGGGGCCCTGCCCCAGTTCGACCCGCCCCCCTTGAGGGCCCCCCCCAACCCCCTCCTGGTTCGAACCCCCCCCCTTGAATCTCGGGGGGGAGGCGGGGGGGAGGGGCCGGGTTGGACCCCCCCCCATTCCCACAGCGTCCACAGACTGCGCTCTTTCAAACAGTGGCATCGTCCGCGGCAGCACGAATTGAGGACGGCTGCGCTCTTCCTGGGTCACTCGGGACAAGGGTGCGAACGGGAGGGGGAGGATGGAGGGAGAAAGCCTGACGTCGTATGAGTTGACTTGTACAAGGCTGCGCTGTGCGCTACCAAGCAGAAAACATGCAGACTCTTCGTCCACCTGATTTGGGGACGGCCTCGTCTCAGAGTGTGCCGTTCTCAAACCCGCAATAAGACACGACAAGGACAGCTGTTTGGGAGCGTTTCCCATCCTCGCTGCCACTTTCCACCGCGCGCGATCTATACTCTCCTGCCTTTCTGGAACGGGACACATAGGAATTGAAGAACGCACCTTCTGATTGCATCGCCTTCAGCATTTGTCCTAAGACTCTGCGAGGAGCCTGTTGAAAACGGCGATGCGGCGCAGAATATGTGTCCGCACCGGTGCTATCATGTCGCGATGCTGTTGCGCAGGATCTTTCTATAAAACAGGCTGTAGACGGCATTGGGCGCCAGCACTGCGCTGAACAAGTCGAGGCGGACGTCCAAAGAACTGGCCAGGATTAGTATCACATGTGTGCTAGACTGAAACTTGCCCGAACACGTTCCGTCCGGTTGTTACGTTGCTCGCTGCGCGGCCGCGCAAATCGCCAGGGAACTGCTTGACAGGATAACGTATGGAAATCCACATTGGCAATGGCCTGCACCTGCTGGCCGTTTGAGTCGAATCGCGCTCCATCCTTGGCGCTTGAAACGCATACGACGCTGGTCACATCGAAAGACAACCCTCGCCCATCGCCGTGTTGAACCAATGCTGGTCTCCGCCTCCATTCTTTCCATCCCCGCTGCGATCGTGCCGGCCTATGTTGGCGGCGTGCGCAAACAGTGGTGGTGCGAGGGGGTCGCCTTCTGAGAAGGCGGGGGGTGTTCGAGGAAGGCAGTGGCCCAAGCCGCCCCCAGGCTTGCAAGGCGGTTTTTAAGAGGCCCGCAGGCCTTCCGAGGAGGCCCCTACACGTCTTTCACTTGTCATCGTGCTCACTTCTAATTGTGCTCGTTGCTAATTGTTCCTGGCCCCCTAGTGGCCAGGCAGAGGCCCAGGATAGAACGATTAGAAATGAAAGGATCTCGCCCCCACCCCCCCAAAAAAAAGACTTGCCGCATCATTCGACATGAACAGTGTGCAGGTTGGCGGCGTGCGCAAAAAGTTGGGGCGCGAGGCCTCCTGAGCAGGCGGGGGGCGTTCGAGGAAGGCCGGAGCCCTTTTTCGAAGCCGCCCCCAGGCTTGCAAAACGTTTTTGTTTTCTCTTTACAAATAGTAATAATAACAACAATTAAGAACAGCAAAACACATGATCGAAGTGTGTGTATATATATGTATGTGTACATGTGTGTATGTGTATGTGTATATGTATATGTTTATGTATATGTACATGTATATGTATATGTATAGGTGTAGGTATATGTACATGTACATGTATATGTAAATGAATAGGTCTATGTATGTGTATATGTATATGTAAATGTAAATGTACATGTACATGTACATGTACATGTACATGTACAGGTACAGGTACAGGTACAGGTACAGGTATAGGTATGTGTATATGTATATGTATGTGTATAGGTATATATGTTATATGCATATGTAGATGTAGATGTAGATGTATATGTAGCTGTAGCTGTAGCTGTAGCTGTAGCTGTAGCTGTAGATGTAGATGTAGATGTAGATGTATAGATCTATGTATGTGTAGGTGTATATGTATGTCTGTATACATGTATGTATGTATGTATGTATGTATGTATGTATGTATGTATGTATGTATGTATGTATGTATGTGTGTGTATGTATGTGTGTGTTTGTATGCATGTGTGTATGTATGTATGTGTGTATGTATGTGTGTATGTATGTATGTATGTGTGCACGTACGTACGTACGTACGTACGTACGTACGTACGTGCGTACGTACGTACGTACGTATGTATGTATGTATGTATGTATGTATGTATGTATGTATGTGTGTATGTATGTATGTATGTATGTACCTATGTATGTATTATATATACATATACGAAAACAACACAAACAGGCCTTCCGAGGAGGCCCCTGGCTTTTCAGAAGCCCCACGCCTTGCCGGAAGGCCCCCCCCTCGAGCGGCCCTCTCGTGCGCGCCGCCCGCTGCTGGCCTCCCCGTGCGCGCCCGCTCGCCTGCGGCGCACGCCGCACGACCAGCGGCAGCTGCCCGGAGCCTTGCTCAAAAGGCCCAGGATTAAGTCGGGCGTGTCCCCCTACAGGGGTCTTTCGACGAAAAATAAGAAGAATCCCCAACAAATAATCAACAAGCAATACAAAATTAGTCTGGGGACTATTTTTTGAGTACTTTTGACCTTCCTGGGGCATTTTTGGGGCATCTTTTATTCTTCGTCGAAAGTCCCCCTGTAGGGGGACACGCCCGACAGAAGCCCAGGAGCGGCGGTGTCACCAGTTCCGCCCACCGGCACGTGCTCGAAGACGCCCGCACGGCGGGTCTCCAGCGGCGGGTGGCCAGAGCCATCCTTTTTTGCACACCAGCGTCAAGCCGGGGACGCCCCGTGTCTGCGCAGCCCACTGCTTCGCCGCGCAGCTGCGGTGCTGCTCCTGTCGGTGGTTCGAGGATGGGGTCCTCTGGGATGGGGTCCTGCGGATGGGAAGGGGTCCAGGGGTACATTCGCGTTGTTTCAGGCACCTCGTCCTCAGGACCCCATCCCTCGGGACCCCATTGTTGAACCACCGCTCTTGGGCATTGGGCGCTGCTCTGTCCGGGAGGCATCTGGACATACTCCTCCTCCTCCTCCCCCCCGTCCCCCTCCTCCTCCTCCGCACCTCCCCCCGCCCCTCCCCCCCTCCGTCCCCTCCTCCCCCCGTCCCTCCCCCCCTCCGTCCCTCCTCCTCCTCCTCCTCCTCCCCTCCTCCTCCTCCTCCTTCCCCGTCCCCCTCCTCCTCCTCCGCCCCTCCCCCCCGCCCCCCCCCCCTCCTCCGCTCTGCCCCCCTGCCTACGCCACGCCACGCCCAGCTGCCCCCACAGCGCCGCACCCGCAAGGGGACCCGGCGAGGCAGCGCTGCAGCGCGCGCCTCTCGACGGCAGCGCCGGCCCCCCTCCCCTCCCTGGCATCGGCACGAACGAAATGGGTACGGAAAGAATGGGTACAATGCCCAACAGCAGTTCCTGTTCATTTTGAACAGGACTCGCTGTCGGTGTCGCCGCAGCCTGTGTCCATTTAAGACAGAAGGCCGCCTGCCCGACAGCGGCCGCTGTTGGTTTGGGACAACATTTGTTGTTGGGCATTGTACCCACTCTTTCCGTACCCATTTCGGGCATCCACATGGCCGGCACAGCCCCAGACATGCGACGCCCTGATTTTATCGGGACGATGAATCGTGTGTGTGTGTGTGTGCGTGTGTGTGTGTGTATTTTCCCTCCTGACACAGGAAGAACGCCGATCAGGACCCCCCAGGGGTCTCACGCGAGATGTGTGTGGCGGCTCACGCGGGTCGCCAGCGCGGCACGCCACACTGGCAACGAGGGCGCCCCCGCACGACCTTACGCGGGCAGCTTGCGCGACGATGCCGGCGAAGACGAATCCCAGACATGCGGCGCCCTGATTTGCTCAGCACGGGGGTCCCTGGAAGTCCCAACTCTTTCCCCGGGGCCAGTTTTCCATTCTGAGTCGTTTTCGGACGGTCCCGAGGCCCCGCGAGGGCCCCCCGAGGCCGAAAATGGCAAAAACCCATCCGTCCTGTGTTTTTTCACGACGCGATCATGTATGGGATCCTTTCCCTTGCGTCGCTCCCATGCCTTGATGGCGATCCTTCAGAGTACGCTCACCGCCGGTCCCAGGGGCCCCTGCCCAGGCCCGTCCCCGTCCAGCTCCTGGACATGTGCCCAACCCGGACGACCGCTGCGGGGTGCCAGGCAGTGCCACAGGGGGCCACCACAAGGGGTTCCACCACCTCCTCGAGGAGGACGACCCCCCCGGATCCCCAAAGACCTCCCCAGGCCTCCCACAGACGTCCGCAGCCGTCCAAGATCTCCGCCTCGACCTGTGGTCCTCCTCGAGGCTCGGCCCCCAGGAGCCCAGGGGGAGCTGGCGACCCCCTCAGGTGGCGACCCCCCCCCAGACAGCCGATGCCTTGGGTTCCTGAATGCGGGATCCCTGGAACGGCCCTTCATCCCGAGTCGTGCCTTGACGGTCCCAGGGGGCAGCGAGGGCCCCCCGAGGCCCAAACGGCGAACGACGCCCGTATTCAGAGACACTCCCGGATGGGGTCGGCGTAGAATGGGGTCGGGGTGCATCGCCGCATCGCCGATGCATCGTTGATGCATCGCTGATGCATCGGCGTCATCGGCGATGCACGGGCGCCCCAGGCGGGGAGCAAGTGGGGCCCCACATCGGGCCGCGATCCACCGACCCGACCGCACGCGAGCGGACCCCACCAGGGAGGAGGAGGAGGAGGAGGAGGAGGAGGAGGAGGAGGCGGAGGAGGAGAGGGGAGGAGGAGGAGGAGGAGGGAGGAGGAGGAGGAGGAGGAGGGAGGAGGACTTCCGCCCCGAGGCCCCCCGCGAGGCGTCGGCGGCCTGGGGCTCGGCGCGGGCCCCGCCGGGGGCGGCGGGCGCGGCCGCGCCTCTCCGCCGCGCGGCCGCGGCGCCCCGCCCGCCCGCCCCGCCCCAGGGGAGGGGGGGCGGCCCGCCGCGCGGCCAGACTGCCGCGCGCAAGGGCGGCGGGGGGGCCGCGCTCGGGCCGATGGGCGAGGGGGCGGCGGCGAGGGGCGATGGGCGTCCAAGCGGGGGGGGTCCAAGAGGGGGATTCGCAAGTCCCATAGCTCGAGGCGCGCGCGCGGATCCCGGGGGGGAGCGTCCAAGAGGGGGATTCGCAAGTCGTGGCCCGAGGCACGGGCGGGGCCCACGGGGGGGGGGGCAGGGGGCGCCTGGAAATAAAAAGGGGCGCAGTGGCACCCGGGAGGGATATCCTGGCCCTGCATCCGCACCCCTCCCGGCTGACCCGGAGCGAGGGGCGAGGGGGCGATCCCAGACCCACGACGCCTCGAGAATCTCGACGCGGAGGTCTGCCCCAGGACGGCCAGAAAAGCATTCGGGAGAAAAGGCCGGCGTTTGGGGCAGAGACCCAAATCTCCAGGAACCCCACATACTTCGCGCCGAAAAGCTCAAAACGCCCGACGTCTAGGGGGATGGGGGGGGAGCGGAGCAAGGGTTGGGGAGAATGGGGAGAAAGAGGTCCAGACCTCCAGGGCCCCCGCATACCCCGCATCGAAAAACTCAAGACGCTCGATCTCTGAGGGGGTCCGGGGGGAAGGAAACAGGGCAAGGGCCGAAGAGAATGTGGGCGAGGGGGCGGGCGGACAGGGGAAGGGAGAAACGCGGGGGGGGGGGGGGCGGCGGGGGGGAAGGGCGAGGGGGGAGAGCGAAGGGGGGGGGGATGGCGATTTCATGCATGGATGGCGAGGGAGGGAAGGGTGAGGGGAGGGCGAGGGGGGGAGGCGAGCGGGGGGGAGGGCGATGGGGGGGAGGGCGGGGGGGAAGGGCGAGGCGAGGGAGCGAAAGGGGGAAGGCGGAGGGGATTGACGAACAAGGGGGAGAACGGAGGGGGGGGGGGCTGGCAGCGGCGGCCAGGGAAGTTGCGGAAAAGGGGGGCCAAACAAAGTAAAACTCGTGATCTTCAGCTTCGTCGAATTGGCATCGATATTCGAGGCCCGGCAGCTCCTGCGCGAAAGTTAAGAACATAGTTTCTGCGAGCGACGTCGACGCGATCGCGCGCGCCAGTCCCCCCCCCGCCCGGCGGTTCTTTTTAAACGAGGGGTTGTGGGATTGCGCGCGCTCCTTTGGTGCGCCCCCTCGTCGCGCCTCGCGGCCGCGGGGCGCGGCGCCCTGGCGCGCGCGCGCGCTCGCGCGCGCCTCGCAGGCCCGGCGCCGCGCGACGCGGGGCCCCCCGCATCGTCGCCGCTGCGACTGCAGACCCAGCAGATCGTCGATCGTCGGCCCGGGGCCCGGGACGGGCGCGGACGGCATCGCCATCCGCGCCCCGGGCCTGTCGCGCTGAGGCCGCGCGCCCTCAGCGCCGCCGTGAGCCCCGCCACCGCGTGCCGCATCAGCTTTTCTCTGACGAGACTTTGCTCGGCACTGAGCGGTGCCCCGCGAAGCTTCTCGCGTCGGCGCTCCGCGGCCCCTGCGGCAATGGCCGCGCGCCTCTCCAAGGTCGCGCGCTCCCCCTTTTTGTCGCTGGGCCCCCCAGCCGGCGACCGGGCCGCTTCCGCTGCGCCCCCCGCCGGCGACCCCATCTCGCACGCGCCCGCGGGGCGCCGCTCGCCGCCCACCTCGCTGTCCAGCCCGTCGCCGGCGTCCGCCCTGACGACCTCGACGCCCGCGCAGTCGGGCGCGCGCCCCCTCGAACGAGCCCCGACGAGGTTGCGCGCCGCTGCCGCGGCCCCCATCATGCGGATCAGCGTGAACGAAAATGGCAGCGCGACGACGCCAATGCCCCCGTGCGCTGCCTTCGCCCAGCGCCGCGGCGCTGGCTGCGGACCCCCCCGCCGCGCGCAGCAAGCGCGCCGCCGTCGCGACCGCGCGCGGCGCTGCTGCCGCGGAGTTGCCCGCGCGACTAGCCGCGCGCCCCCGTCGCTGCATGTCCCGCGAGCTTCAACGAGACATCGATCCCCGCGACGCCCGGGCACTTCGCCTGGCCCGCGCGGGTCACCGGCGCGCCCAGCTCGATGACCTCCAGCTCCTTCGCCCTCGCGAGGGGGCCCTGCGCCCAGGGGCCCTGGACGCGAGGGCGCCGCGCTCGGCCTGGCCTCGCGCGGCGCGCCACCCCCGCGGCTACCAGACTGAGCGTGGACTCCGCATAGCGCGACGATCTGCTGCAACGGGGCAGAGGATGCCCCCGCCCAAACGAGGGCCGGCAGCGCCGCCGCGCCGCTCGACATCGCCGCGCATAAGCAATGGCCCCCGAACAGTATCAGCGGACGCCGCGTGGACTTCGCGCCCGAATATTTTGCCCCGTCGCCGTCGGCCTCGGCCATCGCTTCTTCGGCCAGGCCCCGCGCGGGACAGCGTCGCTCCGCAACTGCGCGGCCGACCAGATGCCGAGCCGCTCGCTCCAGCCTGACATCCGCCTGCCGCCTCGGCTTTGCAGCCTCGGCCATCGCTATCTTCGCGGCGCAATGCATCTGCGGCGCGCCCAGAGACGCAGGCGAGCGCGCCGCCCGCCGTCGGCGCCAATCGCTTCAGACGCCCGCATGAAACCGCCTCTTCGGATTCGCCTGCGCTCGCCGCCTCGCCTGAACATGCGTCGCGCCCGCTTGCGTGTCCGAGAGCGCGAGCAAGTCGCCCGCGCGCGAGTCGCCGGCCCTCCACTGGAGGCGACCCAAGCCACACCCGAACCCACCGCAGCACAAATGATATGTTCAAAGCTTCTCGCTAGGTCCCGCGGCCCGCCGAGCGTCGCCAGCTGCGCGCGCAACAGGAGAGGCCCTCGGCAACCTGCGCAAAATGCAACCGCCGAGGGCTGGGGGGGAAAACCATTATAACACCACGCGCGTCTCCAAAATAAGCTGACAAACTTTCGCAGACAAGAAAATGGCCGCGCACGACGTCGCCTGCGACATTGCTCATATCGCGACACGGCGCCATTTGATTGACGCAAAAATGCGTTTATGTTATCATGCACATTTCTTGTTCCAAGACGACCTGATTATGGAAGACCGAAACAAGGGTTTGCACAGCGATCTACTAAAATGGAAACGTCGCGATTTGCAGTCGACTGAGTCCACAAGCATCCCGGAAAACAGAAATCATCCTGATTGGTGCGGGGGAGTGTCGTTCCCTCTCAATCCTCGCGAATCGAGGTGACGGAGACCCCCGCCGCTCGGCGCGCCCCTTGAGTAGCCGACGGTTGTTGCCGCCCGCGGCCCCCTGGGCCCACTCGCTCAACGCTTTCGATCCCAACGCATGTCTGCCAAAGCCCGGAGGCTGGCCGCGCGTCGCAGAGCGCGCGGCGCAGCTGCCGCGCCCGCCCATGCCGTCGGACGCCGGGAGAATGCGCGGCGCGCGGCCGTTCGTCCATCTCCGAGTGGAGGGGGGCCGCGCTTGCGGCGCGCGGGGCCTTCTGCCCGCGCCCCCGAGGCTCCGAGGGAGACCGCCGACTAGAACAAGCACGGGGCACCTGCCGCCACGTCGCCGCGCTCAAAGATGTCGAAATCCATCGCCGCGAGCCCCGATCGCACGAACGGGGCGCCGTCCTTCTTGCGCCTGAGCCCGTGGCGCCACTCGCTTCGGACGCGCCCCATTTTGCCCGCCCCGCCAGGAAAGCCGCCGCAGGCGCCGAACGCCTCCGCCTGGTCGGGTTCGGCCTGGGGCCCCTGCATCGCGAGCGCATTCGGCAGCTCATCTCCCGCGCGGCCGTCGTAGACCACTGCCTCGGGAACGGAGCCGCAAGCCCACGTCGTCGGCGTCTCCCGATCCTGCGCCGACGCCGCGCACAGCTAGAATCGCCCGCAGTTCACTTCGCCGAACGAAGGGTCACCGATGTCGACCGGCACCAAGAAGTTCGCCACCTTTGGCTGGCATCTGAGACCGCGGCTAGCTCTCGCCGGGGTCCGCTGCGCCGATCCCGGGGCTCATGTTCACGTCCGCGGTGTCTCTCGCTGCCCCCTCTGCTGGTGCTGCTGGAGCGCTCGGGTTGGATCCCCTCGAGCTGCTCGCTGCTGCGCCTCCTGGAGCTGCCGAAGGGGCGGATGCTCCCGCGCCCGCGTCTACCTGCATCTCTGGCGGTGCGATCGCATCGCCTGGCATCGGCTGGGCTGCCGCGTCTCGCTTGCCCTCGCCCTGCTGCGCGCCCGCTTTCCTCTTCCCGCAATCGCGCATGTGGGCGGCGGTGCCGGCCCGGCGCCTCGGGCAGCTCAGGGTTGGCCTGGACCTCTCCACCATCCTCTTCGTCACGTTGGTGGATCTCCCGAATCGTGGCTCAGGAGAAAGCCCCGGCGGCGCGCCCGGAGGTCCCGGAGCTGCTGCTGCTGGCGCAGCTGCGGGCACAGCGCCTGCAGGCGCCTCCTCAGCTCCGCGCCGCTGCGTTTGAGCCTCCCGCGCTCGTGCCGCGTCATTGCTATAGTGAGGTTCGGCTCCTCCCCGCGATTGCTCGGCAGTGACTCCCGCGTCGTCGAACCTGGACGTATGGTCCCACGGTGGGCCCGCGAAGCTGTTCAGGGCGTTCGCGCTGAACCTCCTCTCCTTCTGCTGCCTCCCGGTCGCGCGGAAGCAGCGGGTCTGCCCCGATTCTCCGATCAGGTGTTCGTCGCTCTTCTCCGTCTTGCCCAGCAAGACGCCCAGCCGCCACTGGACTTCGTCCTCCCCAGCGCGATCGCCAGGCATCCTGACCGGCGCGACCTCTCCCAGCGTCGCCACTTCCCCTCGGTGGGGCTTTCCACGGATGGCGTGGTAGGCAGTCAGTGTATCTGGCATGCCTCACGGCTAACCGAACGAATAGCCATCCAGCGCGTCTGACCAACCAAGGCGTCAACCTGTGGAACGCGGGGATGCGCACGCCCATCTCTCGATGAATCCCATGTGCGTCTGGTTCCTATCAGGAGCGGCCGCGAGCTGGTATTTGAAACACGTCGTTTTGCGCTCCTCGGAGATGTGCGCAGCCAGCGCGGTGACTGCTGGCTCCTCGTCGGTGCGCAAAATGCACTCGCCGATGCCCCCTGCGTCGATGGCAAC